GTTCCACAATGCTGGTGCAGCTACAGAGAAGGCTCTCCCTCGGGGAGCCGCCAGCCGGCATTGTCCGGTTAACGGCACCCGGAGGATTCCCAACATAAGTGATCTTATTGGTCGTTGGGAGGTGAATGGCAGGAGGGGGTCTCTCAGGTAGCCAGGTCCAGTACCATGTAGGACAATTAATGCTAAGGTGACATCAATTTTGTTCTTATTGTTTTACCTTTAAGAAAGCTTTTACCTTAAGTTACTGCTGGTACTATTAGCAGAAATGCATTTTCTATATTTACCTGGTCATTCATGTTGTTCACAGGACCATTGATGGTGATAGTTGAATACTGCAAATATGGAAATTTGTCAGGTTATTTGAAGAGCAAAAGGGATTTATTTTCTGCCCATAAGGTAATGCCTCAATTGGCTAATTATAGCTTTTCAGTTCACCCCAAACTTACATTTTATCTCACCGCATCACTGTATCCAAAACAAAGTGATCTCAAAAGAGTTCAGAAATAAGACACTGGTGGCTGACTGGGTCTGTCTAGGCAGCACAACCCCATCTAGCACCAAAGATGGCATAGCCCTGGAACTGGAAGGTTCTAAAAGTCATTCAGTTTTGCTGAAATTCAGCTAATGCCTGTTCTCCCTCATCCAGACCCTCACAGTCTCCAAGCACTCGGATGAGATGTCTACAGCATCCCTTAGTTCAGTAGGGGCAGAGATGTATAATTGGATATCATCAGCATACTGATGACACCTTAAATCATGGCAATGGTTGACCCCCACCCAGCAGCTTCATATACAGAAGATGTTAAGTAGGAGAGGAGAGAGTACCAAACTCTGTAGTAGCCCACATAGTAGGGACCAAGGGCAGAAAGTTTATTCTCAATCACCTCCAGCTGGTATCAACCTGGATTATGGTATTGCCAAGTTTTGCAAAAAAAAATTCAATGAAAAGGATGTATTCCCTAAAAGTTGTTGATTGTTTATATATTTATAGATTTTAGTATTATGACTTTTCCCTCTTAAACATTTATAGCATATATACAAACATTGTAGTTGATTAGTCATTGCATAGGAAGAATTTTATGAATTCCATGCTTCTTTAAACGGTCAATATTTTTAAAATCTCTGTAGGACATTATGCTTATCCTCTCTGCTTTTGTTCCAGGCCATCTTAAATTGATCAAGCTAGAGTTAAAAATATTGACTGAGTAGATAGTTAGCTGCACTAAAGCAATGAAATATGTTTTCCCCTGACAAATTAACAAGTAAACTGAAGATGGAGAGAATGCTTTCTCTAACAAAAGTGGTTTTACTCACTTGCATGAATCATTTCCAAGAGACTTAATTCTCATCACTGAAGAACATTAAGTTATGGAAGGAATTTACTGGCACATTTCAAACTCTTTTTGAATGGAAAGACACAAATAACCTACGGCTCGGCCTAAGTAATGTTAAGCACTTCAAAATCACATTGGGTTGGATCCAAAGTTAGTCATACTTAGAATTTACTCCAATTAATGAGATTTAAAAGTCTCCAGTTTAAATGGCTTCTTGCTAAATATGAATATTGCTGGCTTTATTCCTTTAACTGGAGTAGAAAAAAAAATTAAAGTCCATGTTTAATTATCAAACTGAAATAGGTGGAACTCAAAAGTGTTTTATAATGAGTGGGTCATGGAAAACTGCAATTCCACATTGCTTTGCCAATAATTTCTCCTTGTTTAAATAAACAAGTATGGATCCATTCAGAGAGACCCCTTGATGGAGAAGAAGGATGTTGAGCCCATCAGCGGTCAAAAGAAAAGACTGGAGAATGTCCCAAGTCGAGAAAGCTTAGCAAGTTCTGGATTTCAGGAAGATAAAAATTTAAGTGATGTGGAGGAGGAAGAGGAGGGTAGGTATTAATTCCTTCCTTTTTCTATACAGCCTGTGTAGTTTTACAGTCATGCTCTGCATCTTTGACATTTTCTTGCTCCATTTATCACCCTCGTAAACATCCGTGGGAGACGCTCAGCTCCAAGAAAAGATGGTTTAAAATAAGCTTATTTACAGAATTCCTCAGTCCGACAGGAAGATGTGTGACTGTTTCTGTGGTCTCTTCCTTATACAAGGGGAAGTCTTTGGTATATCGTAAGGATCCCCCCCCTCCTCATTAGTGAACTAAATTTGAAATGCTCTAAGGAGAAAAAAGGAATTGCTGTCAGGATGAGGTCATATTAACCACCTCCATGCCGCTTTGATTTCAGATGTCAGTGATTTCTACAAGCGGCCCCTCACCATGGAAGATCTGATTTCTTACAGCTTTCAGGTAGCCAGAGGCATGGAGTTCTTGTCATCTCAAAAGGTTAGCTTTCCTTCTTTGCATTGGCCTCCAGAATAGTAACAACAACAACAANTTAGATAAAACCTTGCTTCTGTCTATCTATTTGCTCCAAGGTCTAAGAGCTGCATTTATTTGTGTTATTTATGCATTGTATTTATTAATCAAATTTGTAAGCTACCCAATTTTCAACAATTCTGATGAAATGACAATTTATGTTTTTTATGAAATGAAGTCAAGGTTTCCCCACTTTTGAAGCATAAGGGCTCTCATATTGATGTCTTTGTAAGATAAATGGATCATTTTTACACATAATGAAACATTTCACATAAAAAATCTATTCTCTCTCTTTGTTGATCTCTCCTATTCTACTAAAACAATCTTCATTGGAAAACTTTTGAGTTTGTAAATTCTTGGTTGCAATTCTGTTTAAATTTATACCATGTAAAGTATGTTCAGGATGTAAACACCCAGATTCAGTCAGTATATTCAGACATTTTGCTAAGAATGCTGAGGTTGGGCCATGGCATAAAGAAAAACCCTGATAATAAGCCATTTTAAGAAAAGTTAATTGCTTATTCCTATTTTTTTACTTTTGGCCTAATATCATAAAAGATCCCAACTAAAGATGGCATAATTTTTCAGAAGTTAAATATGAAGAAAGGAGAATTTGCTGCAGAGGTACCAAAGACTTGAGTCCAGGGTGGGATTCAGCCGGTTCGGACCAGTTTGGGTAAACCACTAGCTTCGACGATCAGCTGAGAGCAAACCGGTTTGCTCCGATGATCAGGTGGGCCTGCTCGCCCACCTCTGCGCTATATGGACCTATATTTCCTTTGTTTGCAGCCCAGTTGATAGGCACGGCAGAGCGGATCGCCACACCTCAGCTGTTTTATTCACCGGAGCTACAATAGAACAGTAGAACTTTTCTAAACTAGAAAACATTTTGAGCTGTTTTCTAACACACTGCACACACACTCAACAAACTGGTTGATACACCAGTTGAATCCCACCACTGCTTAAGTCTCAAAACTAATTATTACAAAATCTTGAATATACCCTGATAATCAAAATATCCAAAACTGGGCTACATAGTCCAAGTATCTGACCTGGTATAAGGCAGCTTCTTTACTGGAAATGGACAGTCCTCGATAATGTGCAAGCCTTCCTAAATCTATTCACAAATAAAACTGCAAGTAAGACATTATAAAATATCTAAGATGTTTAATCACAGAGAATCATTTCCAAAGACTATATTGGTTCCTTCTGGAGAAGAAGAGGATCCTTTACACACAGCAGTATCACTGGTGGTGCATTTTGTCTTACTGTGGCATTAGCTCCTCACTCATCCTCCTTAATGAAAAGCCATGGTCGCCTTCTGGCCCAATACAACAAGAGTGCATTGTAGCTAGAAAGAAACTTTGGAGTATATTCTACCATTGCTTAAAATGAGATGTAGCTCACTTTTCATTTAGTAATAAAATTGCTTTCTGTGTAATTAACTTCCTATGCCCTTGGGGAGTGTTTATGCATTTTAAAAAACAAGGAGGATTTCATCAAGGTCTTAAAGTTTTCAAGTATGTTCAACAAACCCTTAAGAGCCTACATTTGGCAGTAAAACGTAATGTGACTAAAACCAGAATACAACAAGAAAAAAAAAACCAAGAATGGGGATAGGAGTAAGGGAGTTTTATTAGATTTTTTTGTGAAACTGAGATTGTTCAGATGGAAGATATATCTAGAAAAATATGTCAATGTTATAATTCAACAATACTCTTGGGGTATTTAAGGACCACAGAATGAGGTTTATGAGTTGTTTATTTCAGTGTATAAATGAAATATTAATAGACTTTAAAAAACAAATAGAAAATTCTCTGTCTATATATATGAACAAAGAAATGGTAATATAGAATCCTAGTATCATGGTGTAGGAGGCTATTTAGGAGTCCAGTTTCTTACTCAGTGCAAGAATTCAATAGAAAACATTATCAGCAAGGGCTTTCCAACTTGTCCATGCTCAACAAAAGGGGCTATTGAATTTCATTGATCCCACAGCAATTATGTTTTTTAAACTATCTCTTCTGTCTTATTTCAAAGCTATTTCAAGTAAGAGCTGAAAAGTTCACAGCGTAGGGCCTAGGCCAATTCTATGGAAAAAGTGCTCCAAAGTATGGGTGCCATTGCTGATGAAAACTTCTATTAAGGAAGACCAATAAAAGGGTTGTAGCAGAAGATCTCAAAAATAGTTGGGGAGAGTTGTTATCTCAGGCATTTGGTCTTAAACAAGCAGAGTTGTAAAACATGTTGACCAGGTCCCAGAAGAAAATAAGAAAATCAATGAATTTATTTTTAAAAACTTTTCAAATATGAATACAAACTTTGGTGTACTAGCCAAATTATGACAATAGTGAGTTGGCCCATGAGATTGGCTGAGATAATGTTTTTTGTTTTGTTTTGTAGTGCAATTTTCTTGGAATTTCTAGACAATTTGTCATTTGTTAAAAATCTTTCTTAATATAACTCAGAAACATTTCAGATGTTGTTACCAAAAACACAACAGAAAAGGCTAAAATACACATGATCAAAAAAAGTCACAAGTAGTAATTTCTCTCTTATTGACCACATTATGTTCACGGTCTCTGTTCCTATTTTTCTCACAACTTAAAAATCCTACACTTAAAATAATTTCAAATAGGTCAATATAATACCGGTTCATTTTATCACACATTCTGCATATTCATGCATTTTTGGTAGAATACTGCCAGGTTGATACCAAGAGAACTTTAAAGCATATTGGAGAGTATAATATTGTAATTTCTCCCCAAAGCTGTCTCACTTTTAAAAATAATTTTAAAACAACTGTGATTTCTTTTTGATGCAGGGAAGACACTTGGGAGAGGTGCTTTTGGAAAAGTAGTGCAAGCAGTTGCATTCGGAATTAAAAAATCACCCACGTACAAAGTAGTTGCTGTGAAAATGCTGAAAGGTATGATGAGCTTGTGTAGAGAAAATCCTCATATTTATTGGGCATAAAATTTGACTCATAGTTGAGGGCAATGGTGGGATTCAGCCAGTTTGCACCTATTCNTTTTTAAAAATATGCTAATTAACATTCTAAAATTTAATTTAGGAAACAATTATTGGCTAAATATTGTAAATACAAAGAGTTCATTTAAGTATCTTGCAAAGTGAGTGTGCCATCAAGAGCAAATGTGGCTGGAATGTGACCATTTTTCTCTGAATCAAGATTAATTAGCTTGATCATCTATATAGATACTCATGCCTAAATCTCTCCGGGTTCAGTAAAGCTTCTTCAGGAATAAGTATGTATAGGATTACAGATTTAATCCTTCCTACAGGCTAGTGATTCTAAACTACTTTTAGCAATGATTATGGGGAAACAAGATCGTGAATGCAGAAGTCTAGAGGGAAATGTAAATTCTTGAACATTTGAAAAATGCATGCACAAAATGTTACTGAATAATGTTTTGCAGATTACATCTAAGCCTTGCACAACTTTTAAACCACATTTGGTCCCCCTCTCTCTTTTCTCATTTTTTAACAAACAATGACAGCTGAACTTATCTGTTGCATATGCCAGAATTTTGTTTTGTAAATGGCTGTCAGCCAAATCTATTTTTAGAGGTCAAGGTTAGTCATTTTCTCAAAATACCCTTGCTTGAAAATACAGGCTCAAATCTCTATCGTATGGCTATTATTGAGGATTTTTTTCATATGGATTTAATAAGATGAAAAAAATAGAAACACAAATCAAGCATCCAATATGAAAGGGAGAGACAGTGGTGCAAAATGTGGCCAGAATTAAAATCTACATGACAAAATTAAAGTGAAGAATTCTTGAGAATCTTGTGTTTAGACGGAGAAAGTGTACATCTGTAATGTGAGTTGCTTCTGCAATCATAGCTGATTAATCTACCATTTTCCTGACGAGAATCAGAACAACTTTGTCAGAATTGCTCTTATGTCCTATAGTGACGAAGGAATTTAATCATTCTTTTCTAGCCTTCTGCCGCCGAAATAAAGACAGACTACTTGTCAATCATAATGGATCCTGAAGAAGTCCCCTTAGATGAACAATGTGAACGGCTTCCTTACGAGGCCAGCAAATGGGAGTTTGCCCGGGAAAGGCTTAAGTTGGGTAAATATATCTATGTTATTCTTTTTTTTTAAAGTTTTTTATTTTTTTATTTTTCAATATATAAACATTCCATCTTTCCTTAAACAGTGTGTCATCTGGGTACAAATATCCCTGGGCAACAGCTTTCAGCATTTACAACATCATTCACTTTAATATTAATTCTCTAATCTTAAAATTGTAGTATATTAAACCATCAAACATTATTAACCTATTCATTCTCCTCTTAACATACCTTCTAATAAAAATACAATAATAACATTAAGCATAATTATCTTTCTCATCATAATACTAACAGATCATCTTATTTATACCTCCATCTTAACATATTTTCTATTCCTCTTTAACTGTCTTCTTTTATTTCCAATTTCACTTATTTTTTGCCTAATCATTGATAAAATACTTAGTAGCTCTTATAATATTTGTTTTTTCTCTTTATTAGTATAGTGTTTATCTATTCTTCTAGCTACAGTTAGTACACAAATAATTAAATCGGTATTCTCTTTTTTTTATAAGTATCTATATTATTCTGAATGAGTAGCATGAGAATTTTAAAATGCTGGTCATTATGTACTTTTCTTCATTTGATTCATTAACTAAAATCCGGATAAGATTTTTTTAAATCAAGGGAAGTATTAATTGGGATGATTACATAAGTATGTTTCTTTTACTTCTATATATGTAGGCATATACAATCCGTAAGCAAATACACTGGAGCAGGCAGCTACATTAAATCTAAATAATCATAATTCCAGTAGATCCTGCATTTTCCTGCTTCTTTTGAAGATATATGTAGCATTTGAATTAGGATATATATATATTATTAAAAAAAACAAGATTTCCGCCTTGAATGTGCACATAGTAAAATTATATTTACCACAGTTACAGTAAATATTCGAGTTTCTTAAAGAAGGGTATGGAAGTTAAATAGGTTCTTGCTTGGAATGCAGAAAACAGCACTCATATAATTTTCCTGCTTAAGATCTCAGTATTTCACAAAGATATCCTGCATCAATCATACTTGTAATCCTTACATTACAATACTATATTTTGCATTTTTATCTACTTTGAAAATTTTGTGTGTTGGGAGTACTTGTGTGCTTATGTTAATATTTTGTTTTGACCTGAAAAATTGGAATTCTACTTTCAAAACAAATTTCAATTTAGATGTTTCCAGGTTACAGACTAACAGAATGTTCTAGCTGATTGAAATTTGGCCATAAAAACTGAACAAGGATATTTCATTCTCAAAAAATGAGATTTGCTACAGGAATAATATCCTCGGGGCTGTGCAGGGATTTGTTTAACGGGCTCCAGTGTTCAAGTTGGACAGCCATAGAAATTCTCTACAGAGATATTTGCTTTAAAGTAGCATTTTTATGTCTGCGGCCACTATATGTCTTTCACAATGCATTGCTCTGAGATTCTCTTCTAGAACTGTGTATAAGCACAGTGTAAGGCTGAATAGACAGAATAGAAAGCATGGGTAGAATTGTGGTCTGAGTCTTTGTTTCACCTAATGATACATGCATTTTACTGTCAAAACCTTACTCATTAGAGGCACATTTTCCCCCATCCCCATGCCAGTTTCCAGATCAGGGAATCCTGGAATGAAAAAAAAAAAGCTGTACTGTGAAATCTTGATTCCTTTGACATTGACCCCGTTTGTTGAAGGAAGTGCACTGATAGATTTCAAGTCCATTAACTCAAAAGCATAAAGCATGAATGAAACAGATATGTATCTTCCAGAATGAATACAAGTATCACCAAAGCAAATTTGCTACGAAGCCACAATGGTTCTTATGTCCATCATTTATTTGCGCTGGTCAAGGTTGAGTTAATTCAGTTCCTTAAATTCAGGTTTGTAATTAGGAATTAAGGTACAGATCAGAACTAAGAACAGCATAAATGGTGTGTGTTTGTACATGGGAAATGGGAGAGAGAATGGCATAAACAAGGAAAGAATGTTGTGATCGTGAATGAAAAACAGATTTTGAAAAATTGGCGGAGTTCAACATGTTGCTAAATCATCTTTTGCCCAAATCTTAGCTGCAGGGGAGTCAGTCCAACCTCATACTGACCTTGGCAGCAAAGACAGCTATTATCGGAACATGTCTCGGTATGACATGTTCTTGTGGAGCTTCTCATTTTTAGTCTCACACATATTTTTCCTTCTTCAGCAGAAAACCCACCCTCATAATTCATAAATAGAAAGTGACTATATGAATTTTAGTGTTTTTCAGTAAATATTTGTGGAAATTGGAAGACTAACACTGGTAGTCTTGAAAGTTGCCAAAGTTGGACAAGGTTGGTGGCATAGCCAACACCAAACAATCCAAATATTTATCAGAAAGTAAAATGATGAAGTTGCTCTCCATCAACTTCTTGAAGCTCTCCAGAATCTCAATCCTAAATCATTTACCTTTGTCATTTTTTTTCTAGGCAGGGGCCAATGCCAAACAAAGCACCAAGTTGTACTTACTCATTATTACTATTTTTTAGAAGTGCTTATGGAAACTATGTCAGGCCTAGAGACATTCTTGGAAATAAAAATAATCCTTAAGGCAACTAGTTTGTTTCACACCGTGTCAATTTTCCCCTTTTTTTCCAGCGAAGAATTATGAAAGGCACTAATCACCTCACCGCTGATGAACAAAACAAATTTGTAGCAAATGCAAAAAATGGGTATAAATCAAAATAGATGAAAGGGTGGGACTTTATACTGAATGAACTTGAACTTGAAGAGAGCCGAGGTGGCGCAGTGGTTAGGGTGCAGTACTGCAGGCCACTTCAGCTGACTGTTATCT